ATTTATGTATAAAAACTTACAGTGTCTGGTTATTGATGAAGCTGATCGTATCTTGGATGTTGGGTTTGAAGAGGAGTTAAAGCAAATTATTAAACTTCTGCCAACACGCAGACAGACCATGCTCTTTTCTGCCACACAAACTCGAAAAGTTGAAGACTTGGCGAGGATTTCTCTGAAAAAGGAGCCTTTGTATGTTGGTGTTGATGATGATAAAGCTAATGCAACAGTGGATGGTCTTGAGCAGGGATATGTTCTTTGTCCTTCTGAAAAGAGATTCCTCCTGCTCTTTACATTCCTTAAGAAGAACCAGAAGCAGAAACTAATGGTCTTCTTTTCATCTTGTATGTCCGTGAAATACCACTACAAGTTGCTAAACTACATCGATTTGCCTGTATTAGCCATCCATGGAAGGCAGAAGCAAAATAAGCGTACAATCACATTCTTCCAGTTTTGCAATGCAGATACAGGGATATTGTTGTGCACAGACATGGCAGCTAGAGGGCTGGATATTCCTGAAGTCGACTGCATTGTTCAGTATGACCCTCCAGATGACCCCAAGGAATACATTCATCATGTGGGAAGAACAGCCAGAGGCCTAAATGGAAGGGGTCATGCCTTGCTCATTTTGCACCCTGAAGAACTGGGTTTCCTTCCTTACTTGAAACAGTCCAAGGTTCCATTAAGTGAATTTGAGTTTTCCTGGTCCCAAATTTCTGACATTCAGTTTCAGCTCGAAAAATTGATTGAAAAGAACTACTTTCTTCATAAGTCCGCCCAGGAAGCATATAAATCATACATTCGAGCATATGATTCCCGTTCTCTGAAACAGATCTTTAATGTTAATAACTTAAGCTTGCCTCAAGTTGCTTTGTCATTTGGTTTCAAGGCGCCTCCTTTTGTTGATCTGAATGTGAACAGCAATGACGGAAAGCTTAAAAAGAGAGGAGGTGGTCGTGGATTCGGCTACCAGAAAATGAAGAAAGTCGAGAAGTCCAAAATCTTCAAACACATCAGCAAGAAATCTTCTGACAGCAGGCAGTTCTCTCACTGATGACACAGCTTCCTTTCTTCTTCAAGAGCTTGTTCTGAAGTGAAATGTTCGTTCTTGCTCTAACAAAGAAATGTTTTACTTTAGGATTTGGACTGATCAAACAAGTATAAGTTGACTTGGGTTGCGGGAAAAAAAATATACAAATGGACAAACAAGCACATGAAAATATACTCAATATCATTGATTATTAAGGAAATGATAATCAAAACTACATTGAGATATGACTTCACACCCTACTAGGATGGCCCTAATAAAAAAGAAAAAATGATCACAAATGTTGGTGAGGACATAGAGAAATTAGAACTCTAATACTTTACTGGTGGGAATGTAAAGTGGTATAGCCACTTTGCAAAATAGTTTGGTGGTTTCTCAAAAGGCTAAACAGAATTACCACATGACCCAGCAATTCTACTTCTATGTGTATCTCTGAGAGTAGTGAAAACATATGCCCACACAAAAATTTGTGCATGAATGTTCAAAGCAGCACTTTCCACAATAACCAAAAATGGAACCAACCCAAATGTTCATCAGCCAATAAATGGACAAATAAAATGTGGTACATCCAACTCTGTTTATATACCAAATACCATTGAATTGTATATGTTAAGTGAGATAATTGCATGGTAGGTAGATTATATCTCAGTAAAACCATAAAAATGTCCTGGTAGCACCTGCCTCCTCCCTGTTCAGCTCAGCACTGCAACGTTCAGCCTGCCTCACTGGAGAGAGAGGCTATGTTGGCTCAGGGGCACCACAGTGCCAGACACCCTGTCCTTGCCAGTGTGTGAGCGACCTCCAGCAAACGTGATAGAGGAGCTGCCCAGTCCAGCCCCAAGCAGCCCAAGGAATCTTAAGATATAATCAAATGGCAGTTGTTTAAAGCCACCCAGTTGGGCGTATCTTGTTAATGTAGCAAAACATAATTGGAACAAGTACTAAGTCAAATTCTTGCTTTACCACTGTGCCTACATATGACTCCTGAAATTAAATCCTGTGAAAGGCTTTGTCTTACAGAGAGGAAACTGGATGGGCACATGACTTTATTTCCAAGGGAAATGAAATAAGGAGGAGCCAAAGGTGGCAGCGCATGTTTTAAGTGGTAAGGCGAGCCAGCCCAGGCAGGCCGGCCAACTGGTCTCTTTTCTTGGCAGCAGCAGCTGGTCAGCCACTTGTCCAGAGACCACCAGCTACTTAGCAGGAGCTCTAGAGGGCTGTCGGGTCATGTTTCTGGTTACAAGAAGTGACGCCGATAAACTCCCAACCACCCCTCCTCCTTGCACCCTGAAAGAAAAATCACTAAGCTGGAAGAGTGGTTAGAAACAGAGACAAAGGCCAGGCACCCATGTTGGTATGTTCAGTGGAGAGAATCGCTAAGGCAGGAACTCTGGACTCACCTCCTCTCTACACGGGGTTGTCCTCAGGAGTACATTTTGAATATACCCTTGGATAATGATATATGCATAGCAGGGGAATGCATAGAATTGAGTTTCATTTCAGCAAATATTTTTTGAGGACCTGTTGTGCTAGAAACAACCATGAACCATGTCCACAGGGACCCTGTCTCAAAAAGTTTACTGTTAAGTGAGTAAGTGGTTCCTCTAGGGCTCTGAAAAGGGACTTGGCAAGGAACATGCAAGTGTCACGTGGTCCATATTGGTGGAATCGGACACAACTTCTTAGAGGAAATAATGTACAAAACTGGAAAGCTTAGGAGACTAATTTTACCCTATTTTGGCTCCAAAATACCTTGAGGGTCAATGGAAGTGAAGGAATGGTGGCATTCCTGTTTGGGCATGCACATAGGCTTCTCTGTTCTCCTTTTTAAGAGTCCCATCACCAATGTACGCTCCCAGGTCTAGCTCCATGTAGCTCTCTTCCATGTAGTTTATGTCCAGAACCTTCTAACATTTGCTCATTGTTCTTTCAGTACTTCCCGATCTGGGTGACGTGTCTCTATTTTAGTGGGTTTTCACATCTTTTTGCTGTTGCCCATTGGTATGAATGTTATCTCTTCCTGTAAAACAAATCACCCATAAACTTAGGTGTTTAAGACAACAATGATGTATTATTTCTCTGGATTCTGTGGGTTGCATGGCTTTATCTTGGGCTCATTCATAAGCTTGCTGGAGGGTCAGCTGGGCTGGAAGGCCTAGGACAGCCTCCTTCACATGTCCAAGAATTGGTGCGGGCTGTTGTCTGGGTACCTCAGTTGTCTTTGTGGCCTCTTTACCTCCAGTAGGTGAGACTCGCTTCCTTACATGGTGGTCTCTTCATAGCATCATAGGGGAGTTAGGGTGAGAGTTACAAGGCTTCCGAAAGTCTCGCCTTGGAAGTCTCACATGTCACTTGTGCTGCATGTAGTTGCTCAGGGCAGTTCACAAAGCCAGCCCAGGTTCAAGGGAAGGGGAAGTAGACTCAATCTCTTAATGGGAGAAGCTGTGAAGTCACATTGGAAGGAGGCATAAGAGGAGCCGGTGTGGCCATCTTTGCACATAGTTGCTTATAGAATGTCTTCATGATTCTGTCACTTGTGCTGATAGATATGTAGCAATTGCCCTTTCCATCTTCTACAAAGGGCCTGGCTATTATGTTATTAAATGAAATTCTTATTGCTCTCACCAATTCAGCTCTAACTAACCCTGGGAGACCAGCCGATTAGCTCTTCATAAGGATGGATTAGAGTACAGAAATTTCTAAAGAAGATTTTTAAGTGAGTTCTGTTAACTGTCAAATAAGAAGACTTTCAATGAGGTCTGTTATAGCCAAATTATAAACACTCTTACTATAAAAGCATATATTTATGTACTTAGACCTTTTTTTCCCCCAAGAATTTTGTTGATCGCAGCAACCCAGGGAAGGAAGTAGACTAGATATTATCTTTTGTGTTTACTGTGAGTTTGGGGACACTGAAGCAGTGAGAAATTGTATGATTAGTTTGGGACAAAGCTGTCTGGGTGGGAGGCAAACTCATACAGTGGTGGCCCTGTAGCTGAGGGGAGTGGTCAGCAGCCTTCACGCTAGTAATGTCGACCATAATGGGGACTCACAAAAGGCCCATCATACACGGGTGCAGGGGGGCATGTTTATGGCCCCTGCAGGAGCTGTGTTTGGAGGTGTGGTGAGGACAGAAGCTGGAGAACTTGAAGAGTGCTTGGGGAGGTCGGTGTGAGAAACAAGCTGTATGGGAGCGGGGTCATAAAGGAGTGATTTAGAGTTGTTGTGGTCTATTCGGGCTGCTTAGACTGATGGCTTAAACAACAAATGCTTGTTTCATATCCTGGTGGTTGGGACATGCAAGATCAAGGGGCCAGTGGATCTCGTGTCTGGTGAAAGGTCTGCCCTTGGTTTGGAGACAGTGGTCTCTGTGTATCCTCAGAGAGAGAAGGGGAAGCAAGCTCTCTCGCCACTCCTCTTGTAAGGCTATTAATGTCATCATGGGAGCCCTGCTTTCCTGAAATCATCACCTCCCAAAGGCCCCACCTCCAAATACAGTCACACTGAGCATTAGCGTTTCAATGTGTGGATTTGGGCAAGACAAACCTTCAGTCTGTAGTGCTAATAGAACCACTTCTCAGTAGAACAACAAATTGGTGGTGGATTACTGCCTTTGAGAAGGAAATACCAGCTTTTTTTGAAAGGTGGAGTAGGGCTTGGTTGGTAAATTGTAACTCCTTTTCAAGATGGCTAAACCGAACACAGTCTGCTATAATGCTAGAGTTTCGGATTGTGTTTTCATTTTTTTCCCCTGATTACCAGGAGAAAATGCATCTTGTTCACTTCTGAAGTACATCCTTCTCTTAAAAATTACATTTGTGGCAGCATGTGACAACTGCATCTGTCTGGCAGTCTTGCTGTGATAACTCACAGAAGCCTATGATGTAGGATTTCACATGAGCTCTTTGTGTGTGTGTGTATGTAGGTTTATTTTTCATCCTTTTCTTCCTTACAGGCTGATGAGCCCTGAAAACACACTCCTGCAGCCCCGGGAAGAGGAAGGGGTCAAGTATGAGCGCACCTTCATGGCCTCTGAATTCTTGGATTGGCTGGTTCAGGAAGGTGAGGCCACCACAAGGAAAGAGGCAGAGCAACTGTGCCACCGGCTTATGGAGTATGGCATCATACAGCATGGTGAGTGTATGGGTTAGCTTTTGCTGCGGTAACAAACAAGCCTAGAATCTTGTGGATTATCACCACAAACATTTACTTCTCACCCATAGGTCTGTCAGTCAACTGTGCTTCTGCTAGGGCTCAGATAGCTTGTCCCCAAGCTAGCCAGTGGTCCAGTTCAGGCACATGTTCCCTGCCTTCTCATTTTGGTACCCGGGCTAAAAGAATTTTCACTCTCTGGAATATGTTGTTTTTACAAATGAGGGTGAAAGCTAAAGAGGGCAGGCAGATTCTTGTAGTGTCTCCAAAAACTTATTTTTGGATGTGATTTAACATTATTACTCCCATATCCAGCTGGCTAAAGGAAGTCGTCTGGTAGAGTCCAAAAGGGGATTAATGCCTCTCACAAAGTTGGTTGCAGGGGGAGAATGAAGATTTGCTGAACTGGAGAGGGGGATTGGGGGCTGTATGGAAAAAGTGAAGGGATTAAGAAGTACAAATAGGTAGTTGCAAAGTAGTCATGGGACTGTAAAGTACGGTATAGGGAGTATGGTCAATAATATTGTGATAATTGTGCAGGGTACCAGGTGTGCACTGGAAATATCAGGGGGAAGCATTTTATAAAGTACATGATTGTCTAACCACTGTGCTGTACACCTGAAACTAATACAAAATAATATGGATGTAAACTTCAATAGAAAAATAAATTTCACTGTTGTAGAGAAAAAGATTTTTTAGTTAAAAAAAAAAAGAAAATTTGTAGAACTGTGCATGGTATAAGCTGCCACACAGTGAAGAAGTAATTTAAATTGTCTTCATAAAAATTTTTAAAAGATTTTATTTATTCTTAGAGAGAGGGAAGGGAGGGAGAAAGAGAGAGAAACATCAGTGTGTGAGAGAAACATCAATCTGTTTCTTCTCGCACATGCCCCAACCCGGGACCGACCCACAACCCAGGCATGTGCCCTGGCCAGCAATCAAACCAGTGCCCTTTAGCCTTGTGGGAGGATACGCGATCAACTGCACCGTGCCGCCAGTCGGGGCCATAAAACTTTCGCTTTCCTTTTTTGTGGGGCTGAATCATAATAATGAAATATAACTAATATAGTTCGTGGTTATCGTGGCAGAAGAAATGACCCCAAAACTTAACGGTATAAAACAATAGTAGATGTTTGTTATCTCACACAGTTTCTGTGCGTCAGGAATTTGGGGAGAGACTTAGCTGGGTGGTCTGTCTTGTGGTCTTCATGAGGTTGCAGGCAAGGAGTCAGCGGGTTGCAAGTTATCTCAAGCCTGACAAGCTGTAGAATTTGCTTCCACAATAGCTCACTTATATGTCCAACAGGTTGGTGCTGGCTGTTGGCAGGAAGCCTCAGTCCATCACTGTATAGACGTCGTAAGGCTGCTTGAGAAGTCTCATGACATGGCAACTTGGCTTCTTCTAAAGGGAGTTGTCCAAGAGTGTGCAAGACAGAAGCCATAATGTCTTCTAGCTGAGCCTTGGAAATCACACTTGTCATATATTCAGTATACTATTGAACTCCAGGAGGCAACCAATTATTAGCTACTTACCTTCTCCTATCTGTAAAATGGGAATACTTGCATTGGGAAATTGTAGGAGTATATAGGGTTAGATATAGGGTACTTGCTTCAGTACTCTGTTCTTAGTAAGCTGCTCAACAATTTGTTAATATAGCTGTAAGATGTAGGCATAGAACAGTGAGAAAAGGGCTGGGAACCAGACAGGCCTTTCAGCCTAAGTCAGGTTGAAAGATAATACTTGAGTTATTCTTGCTGTGAACTCCCAGCCCCCACTTCTGTGTAGGCCTAGTATTCTACTCCCAAAGTTAGGAAGATTACAGTGGAGTTATAGAGATAGATGAAGGAAATCTCTGAAATTACTTGGAGCTGTGTTTTACATACGACAGATTGCAACTCTTTCTTTAGTGGGCTATGGAATAAATTTAGAGAGCCATTCTCAGCATTGAAAAATAATTTAAATAGACTAGACTAGACTCTTACTACTCAAAGTGTGGTCTGTGGACCCAGAGTGTCACTGGGAACAAGATAAGAACGCAGACTCGGACCCTACCCAAGTCCTGGAGAATCTGATCTATATTTTAGCATAACCTCCAAATGATTTGAGATGACCTAGACTGGATTTAACTGGAATAGAAAATATCAGAGCATATTTTATGTAGTAAGGGTGAGTATTGTTTCACAAAACTTTATTTTCAGTGCTATATAAACATAGGGACACATTCTGTTCTTGTGTGTATTGATTTACAACATAAAAACTGGATTGGGGTCAAGTATTTTAAAAGCCACTGGTCTTTCTAAGCAATGGTTAGAAAGGAACTCAAGGCGCTTAGTGTACTCTGGGTGTTTTCTCCTGTTCGATATTGCTGCAGTCAAAACTCACAACTGTTTGTTAATGGTCTAATATGTCTACTCTTCGGCTAAGTCCACCAAGGTGGAAGGTGTATAGAAAAGTGTAGTGCCAGTGTGGTCCTTGGCCCTCAACAGCTTGTAGTCTTTTGGGGACAGTAGGATGGATATAGAAGCAATTAGAGAACAGTAGAAGATATACTGAATGGGGGGAACCCCCTAAAAATGGAATTTCTTTATAAACAGTTGTGTATTTATTCTCACATGTTTAAACTTCAGTCACCTTCAAAGTACTTTCCATTTGATGCACTACACGTATCCAGACATTTTTTTTCCACTGTTCAAAACAGATTTTAAACTCGTTGATTTAGATATTTTTTAGTGCTTCTGCCTTTTTTTATTTGTTTCACCTCTTCCGCATGGGCAACACACTTCCCTTTGCGGACTTTTTGCATATGGGGAAACGAAAAAAAAAGGTCACTTGGGGCAAGATTGGGTGAATAAGGAAGGTGGGGAATGGGGGTCATGGCATTTTTGGTCAAAAACTGCTGATCACGCAAACACCCAGCATGATGTGGGTGGGTGTGCTCATAAATCACCCGTCATGAAACGGGCAAAGGCATTGAAAGATTCCTCAAAAAAAATTCACTGAAGCCGAATGCAGCCTCTCATAACAACGCCAGCTGGTGCACTGATACATTTGGGTTCCCAGAGCTCTCACCTAGCACGAGAAGCCTGTAGTGCCAGGGGCCCACCTTCCAGAAAGAATTCTGTTTTCTTTTGAGTCCGTGCTCATATAACGAGGGTTATAAATTTGGATTTTGCTCCCAGGGAAACAGGAAACCATTGCAGGGCTTTGAAACAGATAAATTAAGTGACTGGCATATATTCTAAGCATACTTATGGCCCTCAGACCCACAATATTGCATGTGATCTGGTCAACTCTTCATAACAGTTAAAATTTATAGAGCTTCTTATAGACCAGCTACTGTTCTAATCACTTACTCATTTACTTGTGTATTCCACTCAATAACTCCATGAATTACATATCATAATTATTCTCATTTTTAAGATGAGGTTAAGTAACTTGCTGAAGACAAGAGTTGGTAAATGGTAGATTCAGGATTCAAGTCAAAGGGTTTCAGGCTCTTAATCACCAAAGAAGATTGGATGCTAATTATATGCTGTAATAACGAGGAAAAAATTCTCAACTTTGATTCTACCAGCTCACACAGTCTGGCAGATACTGCAACTAAAAATTGTTAGCCTGTAAAGTATGCAAGATTCTTTCTGCAAACCCTCATCACTAGGTACCTTGAGATTTTCATGTACTTTTGCAACTGTGATGAACACATTTCTGTACTCAACATAAACTGTCTCCCTCAACTGCTTTAGCTGCTATGCAGCTATCTTAGCCTTAAATGGAGGGAGAAAAAACGAGATAATCACGTGGGCAAATTGCTCACAGCTGCAGCAGCTGACCCTGGCTAATCAGGCGGCTGCTGCTGTGTCCAGGCGTATAATTTCCTCTTTTAAAGATTTAGTCAGTGCACTTCAACAATTTCAACACTTCATCAAGCCGTTTTTCTCTTTCTTTTGTTTTAAAAATATATTTATATAACATTTTCCAGTACGCAAAGCAGTTTTACACATACTATCTTTTTAGTCCTCCCAGCTGCTTTGAGGGTGGTTGGGATTATCCCATTCTCCCTTGGGAGACAGTAGCTGAGACATGCGTTCTGGTGGCCATGAAGAAGGAGCATGGGGGTTGCCAAAGGAGCAAGATGCCAGATCGAGACAGGAATCACCCATCTTTCCAGTAATGGAGGTCACTGACAGAGTTCAGCCTAAGCCTGGAATGTCCTAGCCAAAGGAAGGAAGGAAGGGAGGGAGGGAGACAGAGAGGGAAGGAGGGAGGGAGGGAGGAAGAAGGAAGAAGAATGGAAGGAAGGAAGGAAGGAAGGAAATAAAAGGCACTGATGATTGAGACTAAAGTCAGAATTGTAGCTTGCCCGAGATCATAGGATATTACAGAAAAAAATTATTGCGACGCTTGTTAAAACAGTAAGGAAGGCTTTATTCACAACAATTGCAACAGGATGAGGAGGTCAGTGGATGGAAATTTATTCATAGGAGACATCAAACGTAGGGGAATTCTTGCTAAACTGATCTAAGAGGATTCTTGCTAAAGGCAAGTCAAGGACTTACACATCAAAATGGAAGATGAGGAACTTGATCAAATATCAAGAGTGCTCAGATATCCGCGGTGGGGGGATTCTCATTAAATTGACTTAGCAGAATTCTTTGCTAAAGCTGGACCTTGTGGATCCAGGTGCTAGGAACTAGTGACTAAAGGACGATCATTTGCAGCCACCTACAGCCAGATAAATCAGCTCCAGCTATTTTCTGCCTATACAGAAAATACAACATTTGGAATTGCAATCTCCAAATGTTAAACTCTAGAGAGTGACTCTGATTGGCTGAGCCTGGGCCAGTGGAACATTGGTCTACAAAAAAAAAATTTGTTTTGTGTTTTTTTTTTTGTGGGGGAAGTCCTGTTATAGCAGAGAAATGAATGCCTAGCAGGCTAAAACAACAGACACATGACAGATGGCTTTTCTTACTACCGTTCA